GTTAAAACACTCGACTCCAGCTACATGACGCACATTAGGAAACACTTCCCGCAAGTCGAGCTTCCCGAGATTCATAGAATTTACAGAAAATGTTAAATTTTTGTGATTTATATCGTTATCGGGACGATAGAATTCTTATATCGGGATATGAGATTTTGGTCATATCACACAGCCCTAGCTGTAAGCTAATGATAGTTATATAAGAGCAGATGCATGCTGGTGCAATAAGCTGTACGTTTTACGTCCAATGGCTGCATGATCTGATTAGTCAACTAATGGCAAAAATAATTTGTGACTAGTCGACTATCAAAATAATTGTTTGTGGCAGCCCTATTGCAACAATACTAAGTTTTGTTCTTTCAAATGAAGCACGTGGCTCAAAGGGGCACAATTGTTGTTTCTCATTTTGTTTTTGTACTCGGGAAAAATGCTGCTGTGTTCAGACACCAAATAAAGAGTTTTGTACATCATTACTCAATTGTGACCGTAGTGTTCTACTATAAAGTCACAAGAGCAAAGAGAAATTTAAAATGCATGAAAGAGTTCGGGTGTTAGGAGGTTAATGGACTGATCATTGCTGATGTCTTTGGGTCTTGCTGTTTGGTTAGAAACTAAAAAACAAAGATACTTCTCTTAAATCTTAAAGGTTTTGACTCACTGTCAGCTTGTTTGTTGTGTTCATGAGATGAGCTAATATTTATAATTCATTGTACTTTAATGAGAAAACTGTATTGAACTAGCAGCCTAACAACATGAAAATTTATCTAAACACATTTTTGTAGAGGAAATTCTTATATTTATGTTTATATGTGAACTAAAGGGTAAGACATTTTGACTTAGTGGATTTTAACTGAACACAAGGTAACAAAGGCAGTATGTTTCTCAATGGAGAATGAAAGCTATACGTGTCTGCCTGATAACTCAGGAGTAACAGCTACAAATGAACACAGCATTAATCTGGGAGATAAGTCTGTTACTCTAACCTTACTTTGGGTTGTCTTTAGCATTGCTCATGGCCTCTGATCATGAAATTAACTTCACAATAATTATGAGACCATGGGTCAGTGTGATGCAGTGGTGCTAGTTTACAAGCTACATGTGCTTCAGTTGAGACTGAAAACGTCTTAAGTAAGTAATAAAATCTCTCATTCAAATGACAAACATCAAGGTAAAAGTTAGTTAGCTTTCTGGGATCCCCTCACCTGGATTATTATGCATGTATCAAGACTAAAGAATAATGTTACCAAATACCTAAAGACTACGTACAAACTTTCTGCTGTCTACAACTCACTGGAAACATGATGAAACAAAGCTGAAACAAATCATTCTCACTACTATGTTTTCATTTTTCACTTTAAGAAAAATACATACTGCTCTAAATCACTGAATGCTTTACATTTAAAACAGAACC